AAGAAGGGACGAGCAACGTAGAAAAAATCCCCCGACCTTGTATAAAGTCACGGAATGTATGTAAGCAATTTACGGAATTGTTAGCAAACATGCTGTCGGACAAAACATGCCAGCACAACCCAGCTTTTTAACGAAATTATTTTAAATTACTCTTAATTATTGAAAGCCGAGTAGATTGTGTAGGGAATATTTTATATTTACACGAGTATTTTCGGCCACGATGAGTCATCATCGGAACGTTCTCGTTTAAGAAACAGCAACCGAACGGGGGAAAGGGCAATAAGTGCCATCGTGCCAACATAAAACCGTCCTTTCGCCACACAGTGCACAGGAAACGAGAGAGAAAATGCATAATTTTCTTCACAAGCCATTCAAAAGTCAGTCACTTTAAAAAAAGTGCACACGAATCAAGAGAACTTAGATATACGGACTCTGGCGAATTGGTATCGGCATGGCAGCGGTGAGGTACTACAAGACGGGGTGAACGAGGGAATGCGGGACTACCGCTGGGAGAAATAACCGGAGCGGTCGGTTTGGGAGGGACCCCATACTTGGGCGCCATCTATCCACGTGCTAGTGAAGAGCGCTCGGTGCGCCGAACATAATGAGGCCGCCGAGTCGGACGGAGGGTCCTCACCCAAAAGTTTTTCTTCCTCCGTGCCCCCCGTCTCGCGAGAAGAAAAGGTCCGAGCCATCAAGAAAAAAGACGGTGCGCCAGGGTGCATTATTATCAGGCATTGTGGCCGGGAGCGGTAATCGAAGAGATGGCGGGAATAGCAGACGCGCATTCGATCGAGATGACGACATTGCGAAAACGAATGCGCCTCGCAGCGGCACTCGACGAATTCCCCGGCTGTTCTGAAAGCGACGACGACGAGCTTCTTACCATCGCCGCTGTTACGGGTGATTGCTGCGGTGGCAAGCAGCGCCCGAAAGTTACGAACTTGGTGGAAAGCATTGTGAGGTGTTTCGATGACACAGAGGTACGGTCTTTCTTGAACCAAGAATGACGCGGAAAATATACCTGTGGAAAAGTCACCCACTTCGTGGCCCCATCGACAATAACGTTCACAATGTTCCCTTCTGTGGGACCGTAAAATCTGGGATTAAAAAAAACAGAAGAAATTCACAGCACCACGCGCGGGCGTACTAAAGAAAGTTACAAACAAAATGCTGGGTGGCGCATGGTGGCAGTCGCCGCGGTGCACGGCGTAGCGCAGTTCGCCCTCGATGTTGCGCCAGCTTCGCGCTGCACGACCGAAGAGCACTGTGTACTGTTCTGTTTCCGGTGGGAGCTGATCGAAGGTGCAATCAAATAATGTTGAAAGAAACAACAGCAAAATGATGCTTGAGCTTTTTGTGTCCTACCAAATGATAAAAATGCTTTTCTTGTTGCTTTCTGTTCTTGTTGCTTTCTGTTCTTGTTTTTCTTTCTCTTTAATTTATATCCACCAATGAATTTCTGCCACCTTGGCGTTCGCGAGCAAAGTGAGAGAGCCTGATACGCAAAATAAAAACATCAACGAAAAATATTAGTTTTTGATCATAAGGGGCACGCTCAAACTCGAGAGCTTCAGGCCTATTGCTTAGCAGCCGGTCGAAAGCAGTAACAAAATGCCTTAAAGCTGGTCTTATCTCAGTCGCTCGTAGTCGAACGCAAGTCTGCAAACGTTCCTTTATATTCCATTGAACGTAAAAAATAAACACACGGAACGGAAAAAAAGGAAAATGATAAAACGTGCCGGGGGGGGGGGGGGGGGGGGGGGGGCCACTAACACAGTCGCCATCCCCTCTCAATAAAATGTAAAATGTTTCATCGATCTTCAGGATGGTTTGATATTTGTTACGCGGGAAGATAGTCAAATCATAGAGCGAAGGGAGAGGAAGAGCGCACCCTTGCCCTCACGTTCACACATCGCATCGTTAGTCCAACGCATACTCTACCACAGTAGCAGGTTATGCGTTTAGGCTGGATGGCGATTCATAGTTTCGAGGGTAAAAGCGCTAAAAAACAGCGGCCAAGTGATATAAGCGCTCGATGTTGTTCGTTTCTTTCACTTGTTCGTTTGTTTTTTTAGGGTTTTTATACTCTACCTCAAGTGACGTGAATCTAGCACACAACACCTGTGGCACATGAGAGAAAGGGCTTGCGGTTGTTGATATTACATTGAAACTCATGGAGGTGCTACCCCTGTTTAATGGTGGTGCACAGCTGAGATAAGTTTTGCGACACTAAAATACTAGTGATGCGTCAGCTTCAATTTACAAAAATAGGCGTAGAAAGGAAAATAAAACAGATGCCAACTAACTCAGAACTGTGCTATGGTGCTATTCTTCTTGGCATGTGAATTCGTGTTTTTTTTTTTTGCAAGCTGTTCACGTATACCTAAATTAACTATCAGTTTTAAACCATATTTACATAAGGAAATGATTAAACTAACTTTAGCCGCTCTTCCTACGAGCTTTGTGGGTGTGGCACACTGCAAATAGTGTTTTTCTATGCAGTGAAATGTGATCGACAGTTTTCTGGGAGTTGCAGACCACAAATACTGTTTTTGGGGGTATGGATAGTTATGGACGAGGCGCTAACTCATTCTGTCCTTTGTTCTTCGATGGCCAGTGCCTCGAGCATTTCACGTGCCAACAGATTCTTCTTTATTGCCCTAATGGTGGTGATGCTGATTGCTGCACTGCATTTGTAAGTTTTAAGGCCCGTTGAGACACTTGCGTCAGAGTGCATTCGACTGCGTTGCGTCGAGAACCGAAAGCGAGTCACCGGCAAATCTATGCTTCGTATGAAGCGTGGAATTCAATTCAAGGTATCAACTTGGCACGCGAGATAAGCAACAGGGATGTCCTGGTTTCCCGCAGCCGCAACGCAATCAAACGCAGTCAAACGCAGCTGTCTGAACCAGGCTTTACAGTCAGCTGGTAAATGACCTACTGCTGTGCCCTTCACAGATACTGCATGTTCTCGAGTTCTTTCGTTTATGCAATGGGCTGTTTGCAGACTTTATCATTTACCGCACGAAACGGGAACAAGGATAGACAACTCCTGTTTGGCACAGGACATATCTTGTTCTGTGGGAGGTGTCGCGTGTTTTCCTTTGGTTTGTTGGTTGTTTAACTCTTCTGCACATAGTGTATGATCTGTTTGGTACTGCGCAAAGCACTTCAATTTTCTGTCTTCTTGCGATGCTTTTCATCTTGTATGTAATACCGTGAAGGTGTGGTATAACAGTGTTCCTCTTTCGGGATATTTTCTTTTTCTTCGGAGTCTGCCGTTGTGCGTTTCAAGTTCTTGCGTATGTTCTCATAGAGTTCTTGGGTGCCTTGCATCACGTAGTCCGGAAATATGTTTTTCGAAGCTTGGACCACGTTGGTGTTCACAAGATTCGTTGAAGGCAGAGACAGTTAAGCGCTGTGCTGGCAACACTTCTCTTGATTGTTCTGAAGTGTCCCGACGTAAATGGCAGAAATGGGGTTTTGTTTTGACCGGGGCGTGTATTTCCAGCAAACGCGTCCTAGCATAGATTCCATCGCAAAATCTAGGAGCTTTATGGAATTGTTTATGGGTGATTGATCTGTGAACATCAGATCCTGGCAACTGTCTTGTAAACATATTATAGTTTTTTCTCTGTATCCTTCTTTCTGGTCACCCTTCTCTGCGGCGTTTGGCACCAACAAATAATCCACGTACCTGAAGATACATTGATCCTTGTGTCGTTTAGGTTATTTTCGATTATTCTTTGGCATGCTGACCGATGCAGATTTCATAATTGAGGTGCCACCCTAGATCCAATGCATATGCCACTTTTTTACCCATTCTTTTCTATCTTGTTATGCTACAGCTGCCACCGTACAAATAAACACTTAACAAGTATAAAAAGGAGTCCAAATTTACTCCAGTGGGGTTATGAAAACAAATGTCACATTGTTTCTTGATGGCGTCTCAAAAAAGTTTAATTCTTCTAGCTGTTTTTCTTTAGTTCATTTTCAAGAACTTAAGCATGTAACCTAAAATACATCTTTCCCATTCTACTTGTTAGCCACACGCTTGACGTGGTGATAAAGAGCGTGAATATAAAGCATCACCACCTCTCTGGATGTTGGTTTCTGCCTATCATTAGAGGAAAGTTGAGACCTATACACATTTTCCCTCCGTTCTTTTCACTTTTTTGGTTCCTTGGGAAATGAACCCTCAGCTGACCGTCAGCACTGTGTCATGGCGCTTCGTGTTTCGTGTACTTTGTTAGATTGTACTTTTCTCACCCTGAAAGATCTGCTTAGGTGCGCACTAAAATCTACTGACAGCGGTATTAGCTATGATTAAGAGTTTGGACAATTGGAAATGGCCAAGCGGGTTAAGAAGTGTCGGTATGCCCAAGTTTATCCTTATAATTAAAGCTACACGTTTATCATCACCTGTACTGATGATAGGCAGGTCGGATTTAAAAGGTTAAATAAAGTCTGCTGCAAACGTTAAATGTCCCGCTTGCAATCAAAAAATTTCTATGGGAGGGGGGCGGGGGCGTAGAGAGAAGTAAACGTCGCTTGCATGTGCGCATGTGAAGAGAGGGCGGAATTCTACAATATTTATTGCTCAAAAAGTGGAAAGGCATGTGCATCGTAGCAATAATATTATACCAAACGAACGAAAGCACACTGCAATATTTTTTTCTAGTAGATAGAAGGTTTTTCTCCAAACCTACACATGCTGGACATCCGAGGAACAATGTAGAGAGCTTCGGAAATGTAAAGGTCATTCTTGTCTATATATATGACATCCTTTGTGTTTGATAAAAGGAGGAAAACGAAAACCAAAGAGGAAAGGTTTGTCGTAAACAAAATATATTCTGGAAATGTCATATCCGAGCAATGCTCTATTTTTATTTCGCGTTGTGTAGCGACAACCGCGTTCTTGCGATTTTTGTGCACTATAAAAGTCAAGAACGGGGACATGCTTTCTAAAAGCGCGAAAAGAGCGTCCACAAGTCACCATGAAGATTCAAGCCTTCCCAATTATTGCTGTTGTAGCAGGTAATTTCCAACAGTAACGAAATGCGTTAAAGCTGTCTGTAATAACAGCCTTGCGCTTAACAACTGATTTCGTTTCATATCAAACTTATTTTTCGCAGCACTAAAATCTAGTCTTAGAGACTGTACGACGCCACCTTGGTAGCTCCGAGGCAAATTTACTGCCTGCGGATTGCCAGTTGGGCGGCGCAAATGGTCGTAGTGTTCCCTATGTGAAGGAGGCTTATTCGGAGTTGGTGCCGTGTCACCGAGATTTTGCGTTGCACGCCAAAAACATTTATTCTTAGTCCTTCCACGGAGCGTGCCAAATATCCTCTAATTTGACGCATAAACTCCCAAAAGTTTCATTTGAAGAACGTAGGCTGACATGACCTAGCGACAGACAAGCAGTCACGAGTAATGACTTTACTGGTAACGCATGACTGGAGGAAGGATCGCAGTAACGCTCTCATTAGTTGTTTAAATGACAACCGTGTAAATTATTTTTGTAACTATTTACGGTATCGTCTATCAAATTATGTTACGCGTAACTTTTTATAATATTGTTTTCGTTATAGTTTAAACATAAAATAAATCCGGGTTCTGTTAAACTCGACAAAGATGACGAATATTATGTATTTTTTCGCGTCATCAGGCTCCCGATTTTACTAGCAAAAATATATATTTCACAAACATGATTAAGAAATATATTAAACACTATGGAGTCGCTCCGTAGCGGCTTAATCGTGATCGAAGTTCGTATTCATAGCGTATTGCTTCTAAATAACTATGACATCGAAAGTAACACAAAAGCAACAGTTATTACTCTTTGGAGCTAGCGAAAACAATATATTGTTACAATGGCAGGACGGTTCCCTACTGAAAAAAACCATTTGGCGCCCATATGAAAATAAACGGGTCCATACCGGTAACCGTTTAACCATACTGGTCACCAGTTTGTCAAAGGGGTCGCCCGTATGGCTCAAAGGGGTCCCCCGTATGAGCCATAACGGTCACCTATTTGGCAAACGGGTCGCTCGTCTGGGCAAATGGGCGACTCGTTTGGGCAAAGTTGTCGCACGTTTGCTCAAACCGGCGACCATGTTGCAAACTGCACCGGTTTAATCAAACGGCTCTCCGGAGCCCGTTTGTTATTGAACGTACAGATCGGCGGCGTGGGCACGCCTAGCGTTTCAGCCGTAGCAGCCAATGTTTTCCGGAAGGCTGGGAGCGCCGGTTCATCGATTTCAGATCGTCCGCGTAATGCAAGTAATTATATTTATATTTCAATTGCGCTGATTTTCGATTATACTGCAACTAAAACTAACACTTTTTTTTTGTTTTACGTAAACGCGCGACGTTGGTGAGCCGATATTTTTGACAGAACTTTAAAACTTTGTCCACCTTTGTTGCCTCAATTTACTTATTCAGCTCAAATCTCTCTCGCAAAAGACGCGACCGCGTGAAAGAATATACGTCTAGACTCCGTTTCACTTTAATTCAAGACGCAGCGAAGGTAGCACGCGTACACGCGGCTGCAAGAACATCGAGCATTGCGAGAGCACGCCCGCCGTTGCAGCACTCAAACTACGAGCTTGCGCTGACTACTTTCTTCGCTCGGGCGCAGGCCGAGCTTCTGGCCGCCCCGCCGCCATTTCCAAAGTTCGAGCGTGCGCGCGCGCGCGCGTTTGTTCTTCGGGACTACAAAAACGCATCTCCCTGGAATGCCTGGGGAGAGGGAGAGGGGCTGTCCCGGTGGTCCCAGCGCCTTGACCTCGCCCCTCCCTCCTCTCTTGTCACCCCTGTCACGTGACCCACAGCAGCGAGCGAGCTACACGCTGATAAGCATCGAGATCCGGAAGGGCGCGCCTTGCAGCCGCTTTTTTCTTTGTCTGCTTGTTGTCAGTTGCTGCTCGAAGTTCGCTCGTCCTACCTGCTTCAATCTGTCGCCTAACCCTGCGGTCTTATTGGGATGTCTCTCGACAACGTATTGGGTGTGCACCAAAGCTATCAGTGTTCGAAAAGACCCACGTGTATGTCGGCAACGAGCGATTCTTCAAAGTCGCAAATTCTCGCGGTTTGGTTGGGTTCGGCAAATGACAGCTTGTGCGCCGCATCGTGTTGAAACTTCCAAGGAGCCGTTCCCTCTCGTTTGTGTTTGTGTGGTTGTCCTGCTTTGACCGTGTCGACAAATATCACGGATTACATCTTTCAAGTCCGCTATTGTTATGGTAAGTGCACTGCAACCTACGTGTTGGCAACGATTGACCGTTCTTCTACGCGTATTCTTCTAGATTATCTAAAGGATTATGCAGCGCCTATTCGCGCGGCAGCCAGGAGAATAATTTCCCCCAAAGTCTACCTGTATAGTGTTCACAGATCGCTTGCACGTTTGTACTTGTCTACAGAAGAGGTAATAAACTTCGAGGAGAATTGAAAACAATCTTTTGTGTCGGTTTTCCTGTCCACTTACAAGCACCTACGCGAGTGCATTCGTTCTACGTGTTTTCTCCATGTTATAATTACGTTTATGAGTTTCGGGACGTCTTAAATATGTTTAAGATAACCAACCTCCCAGACGATACCCATTTAGGGCTAGCTCATAATTCGCCAATTCGAATGGCACGTTCAAACCTGTGGTCACGTGCCATGTCGAACGGGTACTCGTACCATACGGCACCCGTATCAAACGGGCACCTGCATCAAACGGGTACCGTTTCGAACGGGTACCGTTTCCAAACGGGTACCCGTATCCCATAATCACGTTTGATCCAAACGGATCGACAAGTTTGATTCAAACGGGCGACCAGTTTGCCACCCGTTTGAATTTCAAATGGTTTTTTTCAGTAGGGTTACAAATCTCAGCAACACCTAAGGTTTGACGAATTAAGTAGCAACGCTATTTCGTTACTCAAGTTCGGTAACGGACACAACACTCCTACCAAGCGACAGTTGCCACCGGGTCTCCAGATCCGAAGCTAAATTCGCTCGAGTAAAAGCACGCGCCCGACAGTTTGGTGCCATTGTGACTGAGAATGTTACTTTTCCTGATTCGGTCAAAAAAATAAATTTTCCGCGAAAAAAAAAACTTTTTGAGCAATATTAACGGCGAGAGATTTATTTGAAATTCTGAGCGCAAAGTCCATGAAGTCGCGGAATGGTCATTCGATAAACGACATGGTACTACGCGATTTCGATCGAAACGTGAAGGCGAAGCCGATCCACCTCTCCTCCACGCGCACGAAATACCGAGAGAGAAAACAAGTGGAAAAGAGGCGACTACCAACTAAATCGCGTCTCGCGCCCCTGAATATTGGCCTAACCAGAACAAATTAGTGTGAAAGCGTCAAAATTTTTGTGTAGCAGTGTAATAGTGTAGACTCGTGTAATATAATTTGATGTGAAATTACAAAGGATATCTATTAATTGTTACTAAAATATCATGCCTGCGATGTCACATCGGAAGCATGAGGTTTTACGAAAAAATAGCCAGAGTGCAGGATATCTGGTGTATGCTTAACATCATCATAAACCGGACACTTTGGTAGGAAAATGAAAATCGGGAAGACTGAAAATTTATTTTTGAAAAGCCTTTAATACTTTTATACTAAAATCGTGTGCGATCTTATCAGTGTCACAGTGAGAATGATATGAGTACCCTAAACCTAGTGATCGGTGTCTGATAATCTCATACACCATTTCTGTAAAAACCGTTCAGAGCCTCGTCATTCGCCAAGTCTCCGCGGAGGCTGGCATTTTGAGTCCGCAAAGATCTGCAGAGAAGTAGGTAGGGTACACGGAATATGATTTAGACAACATTTGCCTTTTTTATTTGGAGTAATATTCCACTTCGGTACCTTGGGCATTGAAGATCACATACCTCTCCTTGCAGTTAAAATCTTCTGATATCTAGGACATGATCACTTGTATTCACTCGCAAGGGTTCCGAGTTTCAGATATTTTTAGGTTTATCGAGACATATGGGGAACCTTTATTTCAAATCATATTTTTAGTTAAGTTAAAGAAACTTTTTTACATTATTTGTAGCCCTTCTGCCGGTACTAAACTGCGCTCCAGCAAAATACGATGACAAGAAAGATGACCGATCTTGTACTAAAAGGGATGAGGATGCCCGAAAAGAGGTGCGTATATCAAATTATTTTAAAAAAATGGCAACGCCCGTCTTTTTTTAAAATACTATATGGCGCATATACAGTGTCGCGTAGCGCTACTAAATGTTCAGGGCCGAGGTCGTAACCCAAGCGGTTGGAGAACAGGGGAAGAAGGAACTCCCCCTCTACGGTCTTCTCTGAACGCCCATGTCGTCTTTCACCCCTTCGGAGATTAGCCCCCAAAAAAAGTTTCCACAATGGCGTTTTCCTGTCCCTTCCGCCCTTGGCTTCGTCAGCACTGTACGAAACTAGTGAGTTAGGATCAGTGTTGTACGGAACGGCGTTCCAAGGAAGGGCGTCCCTGGAATGCGTTCCTTTTTGAAGGAAGGAAGGAACGCCGCCGTTCCATTCCGCCTCGGTGAAACTGGAACGGTAACTCGTTACATTTTTACTGGAACGAAGAAAGGAACGGCGTTCCTATTTTTTGTCCTGCGGGTAATTTTTATTTAATTCCTAAAATGTCAATTCTAGAAATATAAAAAAACAATCTCGTTAACTTTTTGGTTACTCATCTTAAGATTTTTTTAGTGAGGTCCTCGTTTGGTAACCGTAGGGTGCGGGAGAGCTAGTGGACATTGATCCTTTTTTGAGTGCCCCAGACTGCGGTTCAAAAAGCAAAAAATTTAGTCGAAGGAAAAGACGTAGAAAGACGGACGTTTGAAACCAGGCTACTCTCTTTGCTTCCGCAAATCCTCATACACCCAGAAAGCTAAGGTTGACTACAGCCATTACAGAGCTTCCACGAAGTGACCAACAGTTACAACAAAAAAACAGGTTACCAGACATCGAACGCACCTTTGTATCCCGAACATTGGTCACTCAAAAGATACACAAAAATTAAACTTTATTCATTCTCCCTTTATCACCCACCTTCAAATTGAACAACGAATCGAGTATTCACGAGGGACTTGTCGTTTTGAAGACGGACTTTCAAAAAGTCGTACAATCTCCTTCACTTGCTTGTCTTCCGGACAGCAACATGGAGAAGCAACTGTTGTTACGTTCGAACGAGGTACTTTGTTAGATTGAAACGTTTAAGGCTGCTGTTAAACGTCCGTGCCATGTGGGGTAACAGTAAATTTGACTCGTCTGAATCCTCCATTACAAACATGAATATAGTTAAAAGCTATGATTTGTAAACTTGAGTACATAAACAAATTAAACCCTGCTTCCGCATTTTTCTTCTCCTGGTGAAATTTTTTCACGGCATTCAAAATCATATGTCGCCATTTTAAAAGATAGATAAAGAACAAAACTTTGCTTAGTCAAACCAAATATGGTAATCATCAAAATACAAATGTAACGTATATGTAATGATACGTTTCATCTTTTTAGCTGTAACGACAACATAGTTCCTTTTTCACATATGAAACTCGTAACGGAAACGCGTTCCAAAAGTCAGATGAAACGGGGAACGATCCTTTGTTCGTATTTTTTAGGAAGGTGCGCAACACTGGTTAGAATATACGGAACGATATCCTTATAAAAGCCTTGTGTTTTTTACAAATATATAATTTATTTAAATTATTAATATATGGCTCATTTAGATTCTAGCTGAGTACGCAATGGAATAGTCTGTAGCGTTCGCCATTTCTCTGCCATCCCGAGGAGCTGCCGTCCGCGTGTTCGTCGTGTCGCCCCTCGCACCGCGTCCCTCGGCTCGGTGTCTCAAGGTCCGGATAACTTCTTGGTTGAGAGGAACGCGGCCGCCGCAATGGCTGTGGGTCTTGCCGCTACAGTTTATTTTGTTTTATTTCTTTGAAAGACAGTAACATTTCGGTTTGAAACTGAAAAACCTATATTTTAACATTTTCTTCTAAATATAGCGAGGAAACGTTATTGGTGTACAGGACACATCTTATCAATTTCCGTAGGGAATTAATCGGGAGACCAATTAGCTGTATAGGGAGCGTGCAACCAGACAGTTGAACGAAAGTGTGGATAATAGAAGAAGGATTTGGCATAAGCATCGTACGTAGCAGCCGACCATAATTTCTAATCAATGTCATCTTATTTGAACCCATCACTGTGTAAGAGTTTAGGACTACAATCGGCGCTAACATTTTAACACAAAATGCATTTATGGGCTGGATTTTATGGGAAAAGTGTCATGACCGATCGTGACGAAAAAGCGCTTCTGGTAAGCCAAGGTAACATAAAGCATGCACAGCAAGTAACAGGCAATGCATCAACATCCAAAGCACGTAGAAGACATACTTAGCGGTAATATTTTAAACAATAATGGTCACTCTCAAATCTGTATATCAAATAAAAGGGACCGTCGAATCTTTAAAGGATTTTAGGATTTGGCCCCACAACGTCACACATAGCAATTCAAACGATAGAAGAACTTAGAACAGGCAAGACGTCAAAGAAACAAAAAATACAAGTAGAAATACCTGTCATAAAATCTCACGCAGATTGTGAAACATAAATCACGTCACTAGGAGTACGGGGACTGCAGATAACTACTCAGGAGAAGAAAAAAATTAAAGGAGTCGCTTATGTGCCCTACTTAGCTTACTCCTTGATATCAGTGAAAAAACAGAGTCATTTATTTGTTAATAAAATCAGGTACATAGCATAACGGGTATGTTTTCCGAATTCAGTGTACACAATAGGTGTTTGAAAACGACTAGATAATCTCAAATTACACTGAAAATTTCTTCACATTTTTGGCGCAAAGGCTACTCCAGTTATATGTGAGGACAGCAGTCTCTGAGCAAGACAGATAACGTTTAAGAACAAAGAGTATTAAATATGTTTCTTTCTTCAGGCAGTATGACCACAAGCGGCACTATCAGTAAGCAAAATAATCGCTGCCAGCAAGATTCACCAAAGTGCTGAGCGGGAATCGCACCCCTGACCATGCTATCCTAGGTTCGATGTCTTCGCTCGGCGCCATAGGAAAAATGGAAAAAAAAGCGCATGCAGCTGGACTAAAGGTTGAAATCCGATGGTCGGTTTAGAGCGATCCAGAAGCGTTGCATTATCGCGCATTTTGAGCTAATAATTCTAGCCCGTATTTGCATGCGCAATGATACAGTAACGGAAATGCGCCCCCCAAACCGCTGCAGATCCACCAGAGGAATTCCCCATAACTATGACTCGCGGCAGAAGGTAGCCTGCGGTACCACGCGACTGTCCGTGGCGGGAGATACGTAGTTCAGGATATTTAGTATAGCGTACTTGGTCCACAGACAGCCGTCGGTGACGAGTGATACATAGTCCAGCATACTTGGCCCGCAGGTGACCGTCGTCGGCGAGCCATATTTAGCTCAGCATACTTAGTTCACACGCGAACGTCGGCGGCGAGTCATACTTAGTCTATGGGGAATTATGGTAGACCGTTTCCTTAGCCCGCTAAGCACCCGGATAGCGCTCCGTAATCCGCCACAAGACCTTGAACTATGCAGTAATGCTGGCGGCGCGCAAGCGCAGCTGCGGCGTTTTCTTCGTGGATACCGTAGCGGAGGAGAAAAACGGTCTACTACAACTCCCTCATTATACAAAGTCAGCAAACGACCGTCGGTGGCCAGTCATATTCACATTAGCATACTTAGTTTATCACACTTTGTCCGCAGGCGACCGACAGCGGCGAGTCATACTTAGTTCAGAAAGCTTAGTTCGGATGCGACCGTCTCTGGCGAGTCATACTTAGTCTATTATACTTAGTCGGCAAGGAGCCGTTGGTGACGAGTCATACTTTGTTCAGCATACTTAGTTCACATGCGACCGTCGCCGGTGAGCCGTGCTTAGTTCGGATACGACCGTCTCTGGCGAGTCATACTTAGTCTATTATACTTAGTCGGCAAGGAGCCGTTGGTGACGAGTCATACTTTGTTCAGCATACTTAGTTCACATGCGACCGTCGCCGGTGAGCCGTGCTTAGTTCGGATGCGACCGTCTCTGGCGAGTCATACTTAGTCTATTATACTTAGTCGGCAAGGAGCCGTTGGTGACGAGTCATACTTTGTTCAGCATACTTAGTTCACATGCGACCGTCGCCGGTGAGCCGTGCTTAGTTCGGATGCGACCGTCTCTGGCGAGTCATACTTAGTCTATTATACTTAGTCGGCAAGGAGCCGTTGGTGACGAGTCATACTTTGTTCAGCATACTTAGTTCACATGCGACCGTCGCCGGTGAGCCGTGCTTAGTTCGGATGCGACCGTCTCTGGCGAGTCATACTTAGTCTATTATACTTAGTCGGCAAGGAGCCGTTGGTGACGAGTCATACTTTGTTCAGCATACTTAGTTCACATGCGACCGTCGCCGGTGAGCCGTGCTTAGTTCGGATGCGACCGTCTCTGGCGAGTCATACTTAGTCTATTATACTTAGTCGGCAAGGAGCCGTTGGTGACGAGTCATACTTTGTTCAGCATACTTAGTTCACATGCGACCGTCGCCGGTGAGCCGTGCTTAGTTCGGATGCGACCGTCTCTGGCGAGTCATACTTAGTCTATTATACTTAGTCGGCAAGGAGCCGTTGGTGACGAGTCATACTTTGTTCAGCATACTTAGTTCACATGCGACCGTCGCCGGTGAGCCGTGCTTAGTTCGGATGCGACCGTCTCTGGCGAGTCATACTTAGTCTATTATACTTAGTCGGCAAGGAGCCGTTGGTGACGAGTCATACTTTGTTCAGCATACTTAGTTCACATGCGACCGTCGCCGGTGAGCCGTGCTTAGTTCGGATGCGACCGTCTCTGGCGAGTCATACTTAGTCTATTATACTTAGTCGGCAAGGAGCCGTTGGTGACGAGTCATACTTTGTTCAGCATACTTAGTTCACATGCGACCGTCGCCGGTGAGCCGTGCTTAGTTCGGATGCGACCGTCTCTGGCGAGTCATACTTAGTCTATTATACTTAGTCGGCAAGGAGCCGTTGGTGACGAGTCATACTTTGTTCAGCATACTTAGTTCACATGCGACCGTCGCCGGTGAGCCGTGCTTAGTTCGGATGCGACCGTCTCTGGCGAGTCATACTTAGTCTATTATACTTAGTCGGCAAGGAGCCGTTGGTGACGAGTCATACTTTGTTCAGCATACTTAGTTCACATGCGACCGTCGCCGGTGAGCCGTGCTTAGTTCGGATGCGACCGTCTCTGGCGAGTCATACTTAGTCTATTATACTTAGTCGGCAAGGAGCCGTTGGTGACGAGTCATACTTTGTTCAGCATACTTAGTTCACATGCGACCGTCGCCGGTGAGCCGTACTTAGTCCAGCACGCTTATTCCGGAGCCAACCGTCGGCAATCGCGGCTGGCCTCCGAATGACGAAGTGTAGCTCCCCGCGGACTCACGACATCACAGGGTGGATCATAACGTACCAGTGACAGCTCAGCGTGCATACGATGTCACAACTATAGACAGCAGTCAACACATAGGGAAAGGGCGCAATAAACCTCTTCCCCTCGCAGTTACCCCAGTCACCAGTCCTTGCCATTTACGATGACTAAAAATTTAAGGACTTACGCGTATCAACAAAAAGGAAGAGAACCCATGTAAATCGTCACAATAACGCGTGTCCCCGGCACACTCCACTCCTGAATTATTTTAAACTTCTCTCGATCATACTACTAAACTCGGAAAATAAGGGTGTCTTATGTGTACAGTACATATGAAGCGGCCTAAAGCTCCCCGTAACCAAGCGTAGCAAACCATACGCAGAAATAGAAATAATGAATGCACGAAGTATTCTGTGGTCCCCGGGTTTACCAAAAAAAGAAATCAAAACAGGTTTCTTTTTTTTTTCGACCGAGATCTTGAAATTGAGTATACATATCATCTTTATGGGCTGGCGAGAACAGCAGCGATCACCTTAATCCCGGCACTTTTACACAAACCGCCAGCGAGTGAAGGACAATCTGATAAAAAGAGAAGCAAGAAAGACATGTTGTTTCTACCGATTACTGGCAGTGGCGAATGTCGTCTTGTAGTGATTTCCGGGCCCTCGAACACACAAGCGTCTCGTAGTGGCGTATACTCTAGCGCAGATATAGAAACATTAGGCAGTCCCGTGTTAATCCACAGTACCGTTAAAATGAAACCTGCGACACGTCAGGGCGAAGTCCTTGGGAATCGATGGCACATTCACATTTGACGGTGAAGTCTCTTGGCCCGGTTCTCACGAGCACGCACCTCACTCCTCGACCGGCGAGGAACGGCGAGACGCGTCAGCGTCGCCGCCAGCGCATATGTCACCGTCCCACAACAAGCGTGACGCTAGCATGCGGCGACGCCAAAACTCACGCGTCTACCGCTTTGTGCCCTACACTCTTGTCAAGCTTCAGCGCGTTTTCCGCTTTTTGCGACTCGGGTATCCATTAATGATGAGGGAACGCCCCGTCTTGTAGGTGATATTGAATGGATACCTACTGCTGAACCCCTTTAATGAGGCGGCGATTGCGCCATCCTGTCGAAGCGTTTAATTTCAACAGTTAACTTAGATTATGTTTAGAATTATTTGAGAGTGACGAAGAATTATTTGTCGCGACGTAACAGCAAGTCTGGCCGTCTAGCGGGCACTACCCGGGAATGATACACAAATCTTTGTTCCACAAACACTTAAATATGGAGAAGATTGTCAAAGCTGTGGCGTAGATCAGTAACCTGGAACGCGGCCGTTCAGATGCAGGGGTCCCAATATACAGTCCCGCAGGCGGCGATTGATTTTTTAAAGTTGTTGGCAGTATTGACGGCGGACGCCGGACGCACTACGCCCCACGCAGACGCCCTACGGCCTACGCCCTACGCTTTACGCCCTACGCTCTACGCCCTACGCCCTACAAAACCGTCAACAGACGTCATTTCCAGTGGTTGGAGGAGCCCATACCAGCTATCGCCGCAAAAACATGGCGGTGTGTTGCCGCCGTTGTTACTTACAGCTGCCCGACACAGGATTGAATTCGAGCTCTGAGCAACTTGAGCGGATCGAATGACATGAGAACACACAAACAAAGCAAGGCTGGACATGGACACGTTTTAGGGCGCAGCTCTTAGGCGCCCGTTTCCGGCTTGAGCGGCGTCGGCTTCGCCGTCGGCGTAACCAAGGCCACCCCAAGGTCACGTGACCCCCCAAGGCGATCCCCCCGTGACCCCCAAGGTCACGTTACCACTCAAGGTCACCCCAAGGTCACGTGATCCCCAGGTCACGTGACCCCCTCCTCGGGGTCACGTGACCCTTCCCCCCCCCAAAGTCACGTGACATCCCCCCCCCCCCCGACGTCACGTGACCCCCTCCCCCCGAGGTCAGGTGACCCCCCGGAGCATATTAAAGAATGAGGAGAGGAGGAAAAGGAGGAGGAGGCGTCTACCCTCCCCTCAGTACCCTTCCCTCCTCCTCCTCAAGAGCTGCGCTCCAATTCGGCGTTACAGGGAGCTGTAAACGGCTTTCACTTTTTTTAATGGCAGCGTGGCACACTATTGCCCCGAAGCAAAATCAAGACACACCCCCGCAGGGAGGCGCAGACACGTCCAAGACGCTGCGGGTACAATACAAAAGGGGGGAGTGGACAATGCTTTACTATGCGACGTGACGTAAACCTTTCGTTTGTGGTTCTGCTGACCAGGTGCCAATTGGAGTAGCGAGACCCCTTTAGGTGTCGCACCCTCGCACAAGGTCAGGCGACGGCAATGCTCGCTGCTAGATTTAGAGGAAGAATTTAATTGATGTATATCTGTAGTGACTCTAATATTCCTGCTAATTATAGCGGGTACACTAAACTGAATTTCCATCGTTGAATTTAGTGCAGAAACTGAATGAAAGTATAGGGATGTAACGTCAGGTGACATGATGTCCTTTTCCCCACTAAGTTCAACGGGGAAATGCAAGGACGGGCTGGCGGACAGATGGCGGACAACATTTTGAAACATAGGGGCTACGTTAGAAACTATTCCATGCTTTAATATTTCCGAAGTAGTTTTCACGCTGCTATTCGAGCGAGAAATGCATTCGCAGACGAACCCTTCTTACGTTTCGACAATATTTTATTTTTATTTTCTCTCTTACAGAAAGGACCTGTTGAAGGCTGCAATTATTTTTGCAAACCATACGAAGACCTAGACTTCTACGAAGAGAAGCACTATCCAGATGGTGTGCTGTGCATGGTGAGTTTTAGGGAACGTTTGTATACTGCTCTGAACACGTATAAATCTCATTCTATTAGTAGGTTGCCTGAAATAAACGAGAACAAAAACTTCCCCTCCCCCATATGCACCGATTAATCGGTGTAGATTATAAAGTTAGAGGAAATATTGCATATCAAGTACCCATGAATTTTAAGCTTAAAGGAGCCGTGCCACAATTTTTGGACTTCGGTAGAATAATCTGGGAGTTGGTCTCTGACGCGTCCAGAGTGAAGAACTGCAAAACAATTTTACCTGCGCGCGTCAGATATTTTTGTTTATAGTCAAAGACTCCAGTTTTGGATGCTTCCCAACCGCTCTCCGCTCCCCCCCCCCCCCCCTTTCCCCCGTCTTCCGAGTCACGTGCGCAGCGATCTGGAGGCGGGTGCACCGGGGAGAAATATTCTCTGGTTGAATTATCTCTTCAGAGGCTTCAGCGCGCGCTGCCGCTCCGACTTCTCTGACCGCAGAATCGCAACACGAGCGCAGAGAGGGGTTACACGATTACAAGTAACCGAGTTTCGTAACATTCATCAGTAATTTTTTTGTCACCTGATACCAAATTTGAACGCAGAAGCTCCTGCCAATGATGACGCTTAGAAGCGTGTCATAGTAAGTTCAGTGACCTCATCACTATGTCGGCAGCGAGTCCTACGTGAGTGCGCCAATAGAAGGTCGCCAAGAAAGTGACTAGGTGCCAAAAACAACTGCGTGTCTGGACTACTCCTGATCGCGGCGATTTTTCTGCTTTCACTTTCGAAACCAAATGAGACAGGTGGGAAAAAAATGTACTTCTGAACATATCAATGTTTGTTGTCCCTTATTCAAATCCTTAAATGAACTCAGCAGTTGGACTTTCCGTCAATATTGCTGACCTAACCCAGATTGCTTATCCTAACCCATCTAAACCTTATCTGAAAAGGTAGTTAACACATTTTACTCATTTATCATGTATTGTGAATACTATCTCTCCATCTAATGTTGGACTGGCCAATCCTACGTGCACAAATGGGATTAAAGTGGATTGCACGACATCCTTTAAAACAATCAGTACAGTATTTAAAAAAAATGGAAGACGTTTACAATCCCCCGTAACGCCGAATTAGAGCGCAGCTTTTGAGGGGGGAGGAGTGGAAGGAGGAGGATGAGAGGAGGGTATGCCCCTCCTCCTCGTCCGTACCCTCCCCTCCTTCTCTCCTGCTCGCCTCCCATTTAGGGGAATATTTTCCGTAAATTTGGTGTAGTTTTTCAAGCTATATTTAGCCGGAAAATTTACCCATAATACGCCGCGCGGTTACGCTGACGCCGACAGCGACGCCGTCGCCGTTCAAGCCTGGAACGGGCGCCTAATCGGGATCAGCAAACGTACCGCCTTAAAGCTGAGCGAATTTACATTAATGAGAACCTGACGAAGCTTCAAAGATGGCGTTTCTGGGCCGCAAAAGATTGTGCAAAGGAACAGGGCTACAATTATGCATAAATGAAGAACGGCAAAAATTCTGGTCGGACAAAGGAAGGTGAAGGCGGCAATACGTATTGAAAGCGAAAGTGACTTAAACAAAATTCAATGAAATGGCCACATGTATCTCATTTAAAGTCTGGAACAGATACGCCAAAAAGGTTACAGCTGAGAGGGTATAGGAAACAAAGAGCAGATTCTACACATCATTCAAATTAATGTTAGGAGCCTAAAAAACACTGGGGTGAACTAGATGTCTACCTGCTGAACCTGTTAGATGGTGATATAATAATATTGACTGAAATAAATATCGAAGCTGAAGAGCCTTTGCCTTTTCACATAGCTGGTTTTCATTCAATATTAGTACGTATAGAAAGCAGAAAGGGGGTGGTATTCTAGTGTACATTAAAAATAGTTGGCTATCCGACCGTATTGAGGCATCGTTAAATCACGCAGACGTTCTTGGGATCACTCTACAAAGGGCTGAGTTCTCCTTTACTATATATGCTGTTTATAGACCACCCAACTGAAATCTAAATTTATTCTATGACGAATTTGTAACGCTACTCAATAGATTTAATAATAACGAGCACATCGTACTAGTAGGAGACTTTAACATCGATGTCATGTGCCAACACAAATGTGGAGTAAACGAATATCTGGACATATCATGCAGCTATTGGCTTCAAAGTTCAATTAATAATTGTACAAGAAAGGAGTACGTGGGTAACAAATTGTCAAGGTCGTGCTATGATCATGTTATTGTACGTTCGTGTAATTTATATTTCAGAGCAGGAGTAATAAAACAAAAAAGTGGCAGACCAGTATTTCATCGCGCTAAGGATTATGGGTGAGGATCCTACAATCAAAACAAACAAACAAGTACATAAACAGGTTCTAGACAACAGTAAAATAAATGATAAGGCGAAACGGTTCAACTGGAAGTCTATGTTGCATCTTGATCACATAGGGGACAGGTTGTTACATAAATGTTCTAGGTTGGTAGCAAAGCTTCTTCATGCAAAAGTGACTATCTTACATTAATAGTTGTGCCGGGCCCACAAACCCTTTTTGACATTGCTAATTATTCTTTTAATGTGTGCAAATGGATTCTTTGTGGTGTTATTGAGACCAATTCGTGTCCCACGACTGAAGAAATGTTCGCGCATATCATGGAGGGACAAAATGCTATAAAAACCCAACTTGTGACTCTCCGAAAACAACAAAGTTGGACAGACTCCAAGGTCGATGAATTGCATACAAAGTTGTCCGATGTTGACAAGTTACTGCAGGAACTTAGGGTGGAAACAGAAAAAATCGAGGTGCTTGAAAAAAACATTTTAACCCTTGAGGATGCGCTTAGTTCCCAAAACCGTAAAATCGCCGATCTTGAAGATCGAGGCAGTCGTTCCAATCTTCTTGTGTATAGAATCCCGGAAACAGACGCAGAAACCGAAATGCAATTAAGGAGCAAAGTAATATCTGAAGTCTTTCAGCAAAGGCTTGGAGTGAAATGCGCTTCGATCGCCAGAATACATCGACTCGAAAAAAGTAGTGGCCGAGGACCGGTTGTTTTGTTTTTTCGGGATTATAGTGGAAAAACCAGCTGTACTTCACAATGCAAAAAGTTAAAGGGAATGACTATCTACATAAGGAATGACTATTCACAATACACTCTGTCAAAACAAAGATTTTTCTGGGAAAGTGCAAAAGCCGATAAGATAGCAGGGAAAAAGGTATCTCTTTCTAACGACAAACTGCGAGTCAATGATGACTGGTATGTTTGAGACATATAAAGAACGCGCGTGTCAAACTTCCAGCTCTATCACTGCCAAATCCACCGAATTGACAACCAGACAACCCATGTGCTAAACAACTTTGTGTGTTAATCTTAAATGCTCGAAGCATTGTGAAGAAAGTTGAACAGCTTGAGTCACTGTTGTTAACCCACGATTCCCATATTACTGTGATTTCTGAGACATGGCTTTCTGACCACATTGGTGATGATGGCATCATTCATGTATCTCATGAAATATTTAGGAGAGACCGTCCATCACGTGGAGGGAGTCTAGCTGTCGTGTTCAAAGAAAATATCGATGTCGCGCTTTTGGACCAAATAGATGAACATGAAAGCTTGTGTTTGAAAGTTACCATATGGGGTAATATGTTTATATTGTATGCTGTATACAGACCTCCGAATTCTCCTCCTGAATTTCTCCATAAATTGTACAGCCAGTTATCTTCTCACCGCAACAATAACAAAATAATTGTTGGTGACTTTAACCTACCCAGTATTGATTGAATGAAACTGTCACCTGGCTGCTGTGAAAAGACTTACATTTGACATTATTTTTGACACCATGTTTGCTTTCGACCTCTTGCAAGTTGTCAATGAGGTAGCACATGAATACGGACGTAGTGGTTCTATTCTGGACCTAGTTTTTATTAGTCGAAGTATTACAGAATACACTGTTTCCGTTGAGAAGGGTATTTCTGACCACAAACTTGTTCACTTTCGTTGCTGATTACCCATCCAGTCAACCAGCAAAGAAGCTAAAGTTAAGATTATCCAAGATTTTTCTCGTTCTGATGATAATTCTATTATCATTCATTTAGAAGACATATTAGGCAACTTTATTGATTCTGATGTTAATATTCTCTGGAATAAGTTTAAACGAGCATGTAATTACTGCGTTGATACATTTCTTCCCAATGTACGTAGAATCGAGAGGTTCAGAAAAAATGAAAAACCGCAATAAAGCTCAAATTTTTGAACTTTAAAATGAATTACGGACGAGTGTACAACAGGCGAGACAACGTTACTTTTCATTCACTCTCCCTGACTTCATTAAAAACGATCCAGATAAATTTTGGAGCTACCTTGGCAACAAACAAAAGTCAATTGATAAGATTAAAGTAAATGACGTTTTGATTTCTGATCATGGTGAAAACGCTGAGCAGTTTAATAAGTACTTTCAGTCGGTCTTTTCTGCCCCTGACATGCCTGAGTATGACGACGCCTCTTCTTTTTTTACTGCTGACTTTATATCTTATCAAGGCGTACTTTCATTGTTGTTAAACCTAAAAGTAAAAAAGTCGTGCGGCCCAGATGGCATACCGAATTCATGTTTGCGCCGCTACGCAGAAATAATGGCGAAGTTTTTGACTATAATCTTTCGTGCTTCTTCTTCCTCGGGTGTGTTGCCAAAAGACTGGCTTACAGCTCGTCTAATACTAGTTTTCAAGAAAGGAGACCCGTTGTCACGAAGTAACTACCGACCTATCTTTTTAACGAGCGCAAGTTGTAAATTCTTAGAGCACATCATTAGTGACGTTATTAGAGAACATTTATATGAAAATAATTTACTGACACCGTTTCAACACGGATTTAAAAAAAGGACTTTTAAAACACTACACAATTACTGACTACCATTCATGAGTTTGCATAAATACTGGATAAGGCAGGCCAAGTTGATGGTATCATTTTAGACTTCAGTAAAGCTTTTGACAGGGTTACCCACAGCAAACTAATATCAAAACTTTATACTCTAGGTCTTTCTTCGCCAATCGTCAACTGGGTTCCCTCATGCTTATTACATCGCAAACAATTTGTCGACGTAGGGGGTTGTTGTTCGGAAAAGCTGGATTAAACGTCGGGGGTACCACAGGGCAGCGTATTGTAGCCATTATTGTTTTTAATATATGTAAATGATATTGTTAACGCAGTTAATCCTTCGGTAAGTATAAGGTTACTCGCGAATGACTGTGTGTTATTTAAAAATATAGCTTAATCATCTGATCAATGCATGCTTAACTGAGGTCTAGTTGCAATACAAGATTGGCGTGACCTTTGGGATATGAGGTTAAATCTGGACGAAACCGTTTTTTTTACGTATTACAAATTAAAGAAATCCGCTTTTGTTTTCTTATTCAATTAAGGACTCCCTCATTTCTGAAGTTGACCAATTTAAATACCTTGGCGTCACCATCGATAAAACCCTGAGTTGGTCTGTTCACGTGAATAATGTTTCCTCGGGAGCCTTCCGCAAGCTTGTACGGCGTAAACACAAGAACGCCCTCGATTGAAATAACGTATGCAGGTATCATAAGCTCTATAGGAAGGTTACAGTTTTCGTCGAGTACTCGGGACGACAAAATTAATTCCAAATTACTGAAAAACACTAAATTACACTCAGCTCGTTGTTTGTTAATTATCTTCCAACAATCTTTGTCTTCCGGCGAGCTTCCCACAGATTGGAAAATTGGCAGAGTGGTCCCCATACACAAATCGGGGGATCGAACTTCACCATCAAATTATCCTCCTATATCTCTAATTAGTGTCCCCTGCAAGCTACTTGAGCACATAATATATTCAAATGTCACGAAGCATTTCGAAAATAACCTCATCCTCTTTCCAAACCAACACGGGTTCAGACAATCATATTCTTGCAAAACGCAACTTGTACAACTTGTTCATGAAATACACAGTAACATCGATAATAACATACAGACAGACGCCATATTCATTGATTTTTCTAAAGCATTCGATAAGGTATCCCACAGGTTACTCATGCTCAAGATAAACAAACTTCACATTCATCCACTCGTAACATCATGGAGAGGACAATTTTTAACCAATCGTACTCAGCATACTGTGATTAAAAACCAGTCGTCAGCTTATTCTCCTGTGTCATTCGGAGTCCCCCGGGGCAGTGTTCTCGGACCTCTGCTTTTTTTAACATTTGTAAATGACCTACCAGATCGCTTAACATCCTGTATTCGACTTTTTGCTGATGACTGCGTAATTTACCGATCTGTATCTAACCTGAACAATAACATAACCTTACAAGCTGACCTCAACCTAATAGCCGACTGGTGTAAACAGTGGAAAATGACAATTAACATTTCTAAAGGAAATCTCGTTTCCTTCACGCGAGCTCGTAGTGCTCTCTCTTTCACTTACACCATGTGCAGCCAGGTAATTACCAAGTGTCCATCGTACAAATATCTGGGTGTTCACTTATCTGACGATCTCTCATGGAACACGCATATAACACACGTCCTGTCTAATGCTAACCGCTCTCTTGGCTACCTTCGACGGAATCTGAAACTAGCACCATCATCAGTTAAACAACTAGCCTACACTACACTCGTAAGATCGCAACTTGAATACGCGTCATCCATCTGGTCCCCTTGGCAACATTCATTGATAACAAACATAGAGGCACTTCAAAATCGCGCAATCAGATTCATTTTTTCAGATTACTCACGAGACACCAGCAGCACATCTTTACGAATAAATGCTAACCTTGATCCCCTCTCAACCAGAAGGAAATCATCACTCCTGTCTCTTTTTCACAAGATTTACTATCATAACCATGACATCAGAACTTCACTATTATCCCCAGCAACTTGCATATTTCCTCACATTGATAACGTCTGTAAAGTTCGTCCAATTTTCGCCTCGTCAGTTTCGTTTCTTAACTCCACCTTGCCATTCTCAATAACGGACCGGAATAGCCTGCCTAACAGTATCGTGACCCAGACAGATTATAATACATTCATATCCCAACTGACCATCCATCTGCATTTGCACTAATAGCAAAGTCCAGTCGTGTTTATAGAAACGCTTCATTTGGTTATTTTTCTGTTTCATCAGCTGTTTTTCCCTAAAAATGTTTTAAGTGTTTTTTTCTTTCCTGTTTTTGCTGCTTTATATAACAATGTTTTCCAGCGTGTAACCCACTTTTTTGTTTCTTCCTTTATATAATGTTTCTTCAGCAGTTACTCCCACCTTGTGTAATGCCAGCAATGGCCTTCAAGGTTTAATAAATGATAACGATGATGATGAAACATTAAATTGTTAGCCTACACTTCTCTCATTCGGCCCAAACTCGAATATTGTTCTATAGTATGAAATCCATCTACAAAAAAACATTCCGACATTCTAGAAAAAGTTCGAAAACGCGCTGTTCGCTTTGTTTATGGTAAATTCAAACGCACCGATTCCCCAATTACCCTCCAACACCGGCATAAGGTTGCCCGTTTAAAGCTTTTACACCAACTTGTCAATTCTAACGGTTCTCTAAATTCCTGTTCTTACGTTAGTTAACTTTAAACTAGGCAAACAAGACACTATCACCGCTACTCTTTAACACCCTCTTTCGCACGTACAAATGCATTTAAGTTTTCGTATTTCCCGAGAACAATAAACGACTGGCATTCATTGCCCCTGAAACTGTTTTCATCACCTGATTTCGCATCATCATTGGAATCCTTTTATCTATCCCAGTGTCACTCGCTGCTTTAAAGTTTCATTGTAGTCTTTTTGTCAATGTATAGTTTGATGAAGCTTTCAGCTCCGTAGTTTCACTGTTATCTTTGTAAATGTACATTTTGATGGGTCATCGTTATAACTTTGTGATTTAAGAGATTTTGATATATGTATATTTTGTGTATCTTGTATTTCTGTGCAGCAGTTTTTCCAGCATTGTTTTTCTTGTTTCTGTGAAGCCATTGTTTTTTGTAGCGTTATTTATGTTTTCCACCCACCCTGCTTGGACCTCTAAAGGTCCGCTGTATGTACTAAATAGTTAGGGAACATTCTCTGTCTTTGAGAAATACGCCATCGGGTCACCTGTCAGTTCATTCCAATAGGTGAGGTTGTATAGCTCTGTTAATACACAGTGAACTATTGGCAAGACATCCCAGAAAATTTATGAAATTCATGAGGCATATCACATTCGTCTACACGGTCCTGTCGTTCGTGTTAGTGCATGGTCAGCTGCGATCTGTAATGAAGAGTTCGACTTTAAAGTTAAGAATGGGAACGTATGTATGAAAGTTAAGGTTTATTTCCTACAATTTTTTAATCAGATATTCTGCGGAAGTTTGTTCTTTTTAATTTTATTTTTATTTTCTCCAACGGTTAACTGTAGAAGTGTACTGCTGTTAATGAGTCGTTTATTTTTCGGACTTCATTGCATTTATGCATTGAAGAAGAAAACGAAAACGAAGACGTGAGTCAGCGCTGTGTCTGTGCCTTTTCTGGTTTTGTCCCGTGTCTTTTTTGCGTTTTTTTTTCCTGTTACAAATATGCGCCGACTAGTGCAACTTCAAACTTTATTACAACAATACGTGTTCTATTTTACCCTGTTTTTAGTACAGCAATACGCTGGTAAGCAAGTGCAAGAATAAAAAATGCCACTATCCAGAGAAGGACATGGAGCAGAACAAGCCGAAAAAAAATGAGACAGAAAAAGGGCAAAATGATGAAGGAAGCAAGCAAGATAAAGATGAAGGAAAAGACAATGAGAAAGGTGGGACAGGGGAAGTGAGTACTGAAGGAAGCGAGCAAGGGAAAGAAAACACGACAGAAAAGGAAGTGAGTACTGAAGGAAGCGAGCAAGGGAAAGAAAACACGACAGAAAAGGAAGTGAGTACTGAAGGAAGCGAGCAAGGGAAAGAAAACACGACAGAAAAGGAAGTGAGTACTGAAGAAAGCGAGCAAGGGAAAGAAAACACGACAGAAAAGGAAGTGAGTACTGAAGGAAGCGAGCAAGGGAAAGAAAACACGACAGAAAAGGAAGTGAGTACTGAAGGAAGCGAGCAAGGGAAAGAAAACACGACAGAAAATGAAGTGAGCACTGAAGGAAGCGAGCAAGGGAAAGAAAACACGACAGAAAATGAAGTGAGCACTGAAGGAAGCGAGCAAGGGAAAGAAAACACGACAAAAAATGACCAAGATACAGAGAAAGAGGAAAAAAAGGAAGAGGACAAGAAAGAGGAGGAGAAGAAGGAAGAGGAGAAAAAGGAGGAGAAAGAGGAAAAGAAGGAAGAGGAAAAGGACAAGGAGAAAAAAAAGGAGGAGAAAGAGGAAGAGAAGAAAGAGGGAGAGTTGTCACAAGACGCTGAGGACACGGCGAAAACAAAATAAGGCACTAACCAACAAGATCCACACGAGAACGCGGGCATGAAACACGTTTCTTTTTTTTTATTTCAGGTATGTTGTTTCAATAAACAAGGCACGGCGTGTCTGTCACATCTGTTTTACGAGGAATTGCATTACGAGAGTTTTTTTAGTGAGATTTGCTTTTTAATATAATAGATTCTTTGTTGATTTTTGTTTAAAAAATTCGCATAATGTTTCAAATTCAAATTCGCTTATTTTGCAACAAACAGTACATTTGTGACAGGGGCGCTGGAAAAAAAGCTTCAGGCCTCCAGCTCTACGAGTCCCAGCGCCCCAGTACAAGGTAAGAGCGGTACTGGCACACAATGACCAAAATAACGATTATGCGCACACATACATGGGCATGTATGATATACCTATACAAAGGATAAAGACAAGAAAAACATCAACAATTCAACTTCGAAATAAACAGTATACAAAAAAGTGGTGGTTACTTATTATAGGGCTTCTTGAACGAAACGATGCCTAAACGAGTGTATTTCAATATCACGGGAAAACAGTGTTTAATAAAAGTGGTAATTGATGGCGATATCTTTGTATACCGAAATTTGACCTTGAAAAGGGAATACGTCAGCGGGGCCTATGTCACGATGGGTATACAGACTCGTTTGCATCTAGAGTACCAAGATCTAAAGAAATGACATTATTTTCCCTTACGGATCATTGATAAATAGCTATCAGTCTAGGCGCATACAAATTAAATATACGAATTACTTTACGTTTTTCCAAAAGAGGAAGGGAATGATAGTCACGTGGAACATTTTCGATTATCCTAAGTGTATTTTTTTGTAATAGGCGTAACTTGTCAATATTGCCCTTTGTGGTCGAGCCCCACACCAGGTGGGAGTAGCAGAGCACAGGGTAAAACAACGCATTGTAAATTAGTTTTTTTAAATATTTACCGGAAGTATGTGTCTGAATTTTTTCATTATTCTAACAACTGTTGTAGAAACAGATTGGACAAACTGAACAGCTGTTTATTAAAGGTACACACTGAAAGTTACATTGCTATAAAGACAGTTTCGAGCAGAAGACGCGTTAACCGAGTCTTTCCTTTAGGAAGACCCAACACAAAGAGACATGAGCCACACCCCGGCAACCTAGAGATTCCCCTAATTCTCTCTCTCCTGGTCATAAAACACCACGCCGACCACGTAGACTAAACACTCTCCGAAGAACTCCCCGGTCTCTGGGTCGGGTTTCCAAACTCCGACGACACCTTGCCGCGGCTCAAGTGATTTGTAGTATACGAGCCAGTAGACCGACGTGCCGCGTGAAACTATCCGCAACATTCTCCCCGCAGATGAGCTCAGCTCATCTCCAGAGGGTATAGACGCTGAACAGGGCGCCTTACCTCTGAGCCGTTACAGAATTTTATCTTACTGGCTCGCAGATTTCCGTCCCGACCTGGGAAACACTCCAGAATCCTGCCGGTTCTCCAAAACAATCGAGGAACGTGGTCGTCATGCACAATTACGACATAACCGACCTTGAGACCGCTGCTGGATTGAGGCCTACGAGCATGGGCACTTTGTAGGTTATACAGATATTCTTTAGCCCACCTGTTCCAAAACATGTTCATCAATCGCTGGCGGTGTGACCATCTGCCAATCAACTCCGTTCGAGTGGATGTCACGTCTCCTCTTTTATGATGAGGTAATATGGTTAGCCTCCTACCACAAAGGAAGTGAGCAGGAGTTAAGACATTTGGTTCGTTTGGTTCGGAGTAGACATACGTCATTGGTCGAGAGTTGATCACAGCCTCAACTTCCGTTAGTACAGTTGTGATCGGTTCGACATCGAGCGCAGCTTTGCCAATGTTTCTTTTCAGGCAACTCTTAACCGATCCCACCATACGCTCCCAAAAGCTACCCCACCATGGAGCTCTTTCAACGATAAACCTCCAAGTGATCCGGTGGGTGGCGCGTAGTCTTTCAATTCGGAACTACATAACACAGCGTACATCTGCTTTAGATCTTTAGTAGCTCGTTTGAAAGTCAGTGCATTATCTGAACACATCATTCGCGGCAACCCACGCATTGACACAAAGCGTATGAAAGCCATTAGAAAGGCGTTGGTAGACATATCCAGGACAAGTTCTAAATGTATCGCTCGCGGAATAGCGCATGTGAATCCAAGAATATATGCCTTGACACTGTTTGTTCCGGATTTCACGAACATCGGTCCAGCAAAGTCCACGCCACAGACCTCGAACGGTTCTGCCTTTGTTACGCGGTCTTCAGGCACAGGTGCCATCGGGGCGGTCATGGGCTTGAGCTTGAGTCCAAGACACATCTAACAGCGTCCGATCACTCGTTTTACACTTTATCGCCCTCTCACAACCCAATAGTGCTCTCGCAGTTCACACAGAGTAGCACTCACACCATCATGCAGAATGCGAACATGCGTGTGCTCAACGAGGAGCTCCGTGAAACGGTTGTCTCCCGGTAGTAGCACCGGAAACTTGGTCTCGTCGGGTGCCGAGACATTCTGCAGTCGAGTCTCAATGCCGGATCACACCGTCTTCATCAAAGAAGAGGTGCAGGTCCCGGATACGCGAGCTCGACCGCAGGCGGTCACCGGCGACGAGGCTTGCTTTTTCTTCGCTGTAGCTCTCTTCCTGAATGTGTTTTGTCCAGTACCTCTCTGCCTCCTCCAATTCATTGGTGGACAGAGAGCTGCTGACTCTTGAACCCTTCTCTTGCAAGTTTTTAATGAATCGCAAGATACACGCCGTCACCCTCATTGCCTTGAACCATTTGCTGCAGTCTGTAAGCACGAGGAGAGGCTCTTGTACGGTTGTTTTGCTGTGCAGCACTGTGCTTTTGCCTCTTAGCTCTCCGTCAGCATCCGGAACCTCGTCGTTCGTCTCTCTTCTTTGAGGCCAGAAATCTGGATCACGTGACAACCACTGCGGGCCCTGCCACCATACCTTGGAAAGGGTCAGGTTGGAGGTGGGTACTCCTCGGGTGATCATGTCCGCGGGGTTGTCCTTCCCTGAACAGTGTCGCCACCGAAGGGGGTCGGTGTTGCTCTGGATCTCCACGACCCTGTTGCACACAAATGGCTTCCATTTGTTTGCCGATGCGTGAATACAGCTGAGAGTGATGGTGGAATCTGTCCAAAGGTGGCACTCCAGGTCGGGCGTATCCAATGTCTCAATCAAGAAAGCCATCAATCTTGATCTGATAAGAGCGCCGAGGAGCTCCAGACGTGGCTTTGTCATTTTCTTCAAAGGTGCAACACGTGCCTTGAACATCATAAGCCGTGCGCTGGTGCTTCTGTTAGTGTCCTCGACTCGCATGTAGGCCGCAGCTCCGTACGCCTGAGTGCTTGCGTCCGTGAAAACATGGAGTTGTCTGGACTTAACTGCTCCCTCTGTCACCAAGAAGCATCTGTCGACTGAAAGAGAGCCAAGTTTGGCAAGCTCCCCGCACCATACATGCCATTACTCACGCAAATCATTTAGCAATGAGGTGTCCCAGTCGATTCCTCTCTCCCAAATATGCTGAAACAAAATTTTGGCTCGAATGCTGTATGGAGAGAGCAGTCCTAAAGGGTCAAATAGCCTCGACGTGGTCTGGCAGTGACTGTAAGTTCACCTGAAGATTGTCCTGTTCGGTGTCCCAAAGACTTCCCAGTACCTTTGTCAGATCTGACGATTCAGCACATGTAGACGTCTCGTCCGCTGTCGTTTTAATGTGACACTTGAGTTTTTTTTTAGCTCGTCGACCACTTTTAAAGCCTCATTCCCGCTTTGCCAAGTATTTCCGTGGAGTCATCGTAGAGTTTCTGCGCCTCTTCGTTTGATGAGACACCCACAATCAGGTCGTCAACATAAAAACGCTTTTCAAGGTGCACCGCCGTTGGCTCGGCTTCTCCCTCGGCTGAACGCAGGTGACGCTGCAATGTCGCTGTCAAGAGAAAAGGGCTTGCAGTTGACCCGAAAGGAACCCTTGTCATTCAAAACTCTTGAATGAGAGGCAATTCTTCTCCAGAAACGCGAGGGGTGTCAAACCACAAAAAAAAAAAAAAAAAAAAAACGAAGAGCATCCCTGTCTCCAGGCCTCACGCTGATTAGAAGAAAAGCCTTCTGAATGTCAGCTGTTAATGCCATCCTGTGAAAACGGAAGTTCACCAGAATCTTCAGCAGGTCGTTGTTTAGATTAGGTCCTTTCTCCAGATGGTCGCTTAGCGAGAGCTCTCTTGTAGTGTGCGAAGACACATCGAAAACCACTTGCAACTTTGTAGTCGCTGAAGCTTCCCGGATAACAGCTCTGTGTGGCATGTAGTGCACATTTTCCTTTTCGTTGGTTTTTTCCGTCACTTCCTCTGCGTGTCTGTCGTTTAGGTATTGCCTCATAGCAGAGTCGTACTTAAGAAGAAGTTCTTCGTCTCGAGCCAAGTGATGACAGAGCCCTTGCAATCTCTTCTCTGGCACCTTTCTGTTATTGCCGAGATCCCCGAGGTTCTGAGACTTCCAGGGAAGAGCAACTTCGTATCTTCCTTCTGTCATGGGGATGGTCTCCTCAAAACCCTGTAATGCAGACTCGTCGTGATCAGAGTTGGTCGTTGAGTCTGTGATACTGAGGCTTTCAAGTTCCCACAACTGTCGCAGGGACAATCCTTCTTCATCATCACCCGTTGCACCGGCTCTGAGCACGCACACGTTGCTGGTTGTTTTCTTTCGTCATGGGTTCTTCGAGGTCACGGGGCCCTGAAATGTCCATCCCATTGTTGATTTCACGGCTGATAGACACCTGTTGTTTTCATCCCAGCATTCTTCATGCTCCAACAGCTTTCCAAGCTGATCTGCTCCAACTAGAAGGCTGATTCCGCACTCTCTGAACGCCTGGGAAGACCAGCAGATCCGCTAGATAAATTTTTTCCCCTATTTTCTGAAAGAAGCCATTGTCCATCGGTATTCGATCGATATATTTGCATATGACCGGTACCTCAATCGC